CGTAGGAAGTCAACGGTATCGATACTGTCAGAGGGGTATCGATAATACTATATAGAGTAGTATCGATACCATTTAATGGTATCGGTGCAATTTTTGATTTTGTTTCTATGGTATTGATATTGTCTTAGCAGTATCGGTACTACACTGTTTTGCATGACTTTACACTGCTCCTAGGGTCAGAATTTGACATTGTTCGGATGGTAATTTCATAAATCTTCATTGTTTAAGTTTGAAAAAACTCGATTCCTGCAAAATAATAATAAAAAATAAATGAAACATGCTTAATCAAAATCAAAATTAAAATTGAAAATGTAACATAATTAAAAACAATGGGTTGTGTCCCATGAAGTGCTTTTGTTTAACGTTGTTAGCTCGATGACCTGATTTAGACTACAGGTTCTTTTAAGTCGAGATCTTCAATTAAGCAAGCTTGGCTATTCACATAATACGGTTTAATCATGTGTCCATTTACTTTAAATCGAGTACCCGAACAATCTTCAAGTTCGACTGCGCAATGAGAAAAAATTTCAGTTATCGTATAGGGTCCGCTCCACTTCGATCGATGTTTACCTGCAAAAAGTTTTAACTTTGAATTAAAAAGAAGAACTTTTTTTCCGACAGAAAAAGATTTAAAAACAATTTTCGATCATGGAATTCTTTTGTTTTGTCTTTATATATTCCGGCGTTGTCGTAAGCATCTCTCCGGAGTTCCTCAAGCTCCTGTATATGTAACTTTCGTGTTTTGCCAACCACTTCTAACTCCATATTGCATCGCTTTACAGCCCAATATGCCTTGTGTTCCAGCTCGACATGCCGATAGGTCCTTTATATGCAGTTCGATAAGCCCACAAAGCGTCAATCAATTTCAAGCTCCACCCTTGCGATTTGGCTTGACTATTTTCTCAAGAATTGCTTGTACTTCACGGTTTGAAATTTCTGCTTGTTCGTTCGTTTGTGAATAATAAGCCGTGGCAATCCTGTGATTTACTCCATGCTTTTTCATAAGCGCATCAATTACCCTATTGATGAAGTGTGTGTCGCGATAGCTTTTTATCGCTCTTGGTGTACCAAACTTGGAAAAAATACAATTCTTTAGAAATTGAACTGTAGTTTTGGCATCGTTGTTTCGAGTGGTTTTAGCTTCTATCCACTTTGAATCCACTTTGAAACATAGTCAACCGTAAGAATTATATAACAATTGCCGAAAGAAGAAACAAAAGGACCCATATAGTCAAGTCCCCAAACATTAAATGTTTCGCATATATGAATAAGATTAAGAGGCATTTCATTTCTTTGAATCAAATTACCTTCACGTTGTCAATTATCACATGATTTGTAAAATAAGTAAGCATCCCAAAAATATGAGGCCAAAGAATCCGCATTCCAAAATTTTATGAGCAATCTGCTTCGGTCTGAAATGTCCACCACATGAATAAGAATGAAAAAAAATTAGAATTGAGCTTACCTCGCTTCAGGAACACATCGTTGAATTACCTGGTCTGAACAATGCTTCCAAATATACGGATAATCCCAAATGAAGAAACAATATTCTCTTTTAATACGATTTACTTCGGCTTTCGTCAAATCAAATGGTAATTTACCTGTAGCTAAGTAATTAACTATATCTGCGAACCAAGGCATTGACTTCTGCCCCATCATCTAGTTTTCCTCCGAGAATTCCTCACGAATGGGAAGATCAACTGTAGAGATTGGAAGTCGGCTTAAGTGATCGGCCACTAAGTTCTCATATCCTTTCTTATCCTTGATTTCCAAATAAAATTCTTGGAGGAGTAAGATCCAACGGATTAGTCGTGGCTTTGCCTTTTTTTCTAAGTAAGTACTTCAAGGCTGCATGATCAGAAAAAACAATAACTTTAGTGCTAAGAAGATATGATCTAAACTTATCTGATGCAAAAATGATAGCAAATAATTATTTTTCAGTTGTTGAATAATTCCATTGTGCGAAATCTAAGGTACGTGACGCATAGGCGATAACGTGAGGCTCTTTTCCATCCTTTGTCTGAGCACGATTCCAACACCTCCATCCGAAGCATCACACATGATTTCGAAGGGAAAATCCCAATTTGGCTGTTGGACTATGGGTGTCGAAACCAACTTTTCCTTTAAAACGTCGAATGATTCTTGGAATTATTGGTTAAATTGAAGATTTTATCCTTCTGTAACAACTCGCACAATGGTTGTACCACCTTAGAGAAATCCTTAATGAATTTGCGGTAAAAACCTGCATGACCTAGGAAAGAACAAATTTCCCTCACTGTAGTGGGGTAAGGAAGTGAACGTATTATATCGGTTTTTGCCTTGTCTACCACAATTCATTTAGAAGAAACAATATGGCCTAGAATTAAACCTTTATCAATAATAAAATGACACTTTTCGTAATTCAAAACAAGGTTAAATTCTAGGCACTGACGCAACACATTGTCAAGTTTAATAGACACTCATTGAATGAATTACCGTAAACAGTGAAGTATCCATGAAGACTTCAATACCTTTCTCAATATAATCAGAAAAAATACTAATCATACACACTTTGGAACGTGGCTGGTGCATTGCAAAGTTCGAAAGGTATTTTTCGGTAAGCGAAGGTGCTGAAGGGGCATGTAAATGTCATATTTTCTTGATCTTCAGGTGCCACTGGAATTTGGAAGAAACCTAAAAATCCATCAAGACAACAATAGTGAATTTTATCGGCTAATCGTTATATCATTTGATCTATGAATGGAAGAGGAAAATGGTCTTTTCGAGTTAAAGAATTCAACTTCCTGTAATCGATGCAGACTCTATCCATTTTGAACTCTTGTTGGTACAAATTCTCCCTCAAAATTTTTAATCACAATAACTCCTGTTTTTTTAGGAACTACATGTATCAGACTTACTCATTTATTATCCGAAATTGGATATATGATATCTGCATCAAGGAGTTTTTGTATCTCCTTTTTTACCACTTCTATCATTGGCGGATTTAGCCGGTGTTGACCTTCACGTGTTGGTTTTGCGCCTTTTTCGGTTTTAATTTTGTGCATACAAGTGGTTGGACTCAACCCTTTTATGTTAGTGATGGTCCATCCTATAGCTTCCTTGTGTGTGCGCAAAACCGTTATTAAGTCTTTTTCTTCCTCCTCGGACAATCCTTTTGATATGATCATTGACAAAGTATTGTTTGCTCTGAGGAAAGCGTATTTCAAGTGGTCCGACAACGATTTCAGTTCAACTTCAAGCGTCTGCAACATAGAGGACAAATCTTTAAGCTTAGAAGAAATCAAATTTAATTCAGCATAATCAGAATATATGTTCTCATCATGATATTCTAGCTCCCTACGTAGATCAAAGGAAAAATTAGTCCTTAAAAATTCATCAGCCAAAGGATCAATTATATCAACAGAATTTAGACTTTCTACTTTGGCAGGATATCTCATTGCCTTATACAGGTCAAATTCCATAGTTAAAATTCTGCTTCTTACATCAATTTTCGTGTGTCCAGTACTTAGGAAAGGACGCCCCAGCAGGATGTCCAAGGATATGCTTGTGCGATCATTCTCCATGTCGATTATATAAAAATCAGCAGGAAATATTAAGTTGTTTACCTCCACCAATACATTCTCTAAGAGTCCTTCCGGATAGATCACCGATCTATTGGCAAGCTGTATTGAGACCTTTGTATCCTTCAAAGGCTCATTAGTAATCATTTTGTAAACAGATAGAGGCATTACATTAATAGATGCACCAAGATCACACATGACTTGTTTTATCCCAACTTTACAAATTTTACAGGGTATTGTGAACATACCTTGGTCTTTTAGTTTCGTTGGTAACTTCCGTTGGAAGATGGCTGAGATGTGTTCTCCCAAGTTCACTTTCTCGACCCCAGTAAACTTTCTTTTTGTTTACAAAAATCCTTAAAAAATTGGGCATATCTTGGAACCTTTCGGATTATCTCAAAGAGAGGTATGTTAACTTCCACCTTTCGGAGTACGTCTAGTATTTCCCTTTCCTCAGTTTGTTTATCCCTTTTAACTAAGCTTGATGGAAAATGTAGTGGCATGTCATAGGGAGATGGCGTTGGATCCGTTTGTTCTTCATCACTCTTCTTCTAGGGTCCTGAATCATCAGTCTTCTTCTCTTTTTGGATTGCTTCATCTGATGGAACAAGTGGCACCACTACTGTACCACTCCGAAGAGTGATTGCGCTGACATTCTCCCTTGGGTTTACCTCGGTTTGAGATGAAAGTTTACCTTGTGATTCCAAGTGGCCTACAATTTGAGCCAGTTGGCTCATCTTCTTATCTATCTCTTGTATGTGGGTTTCTGTACGAATCTGGAATTTTTCTTGGGAAAGTGCTAACCTCTCGACAATTGAGTCTAATGATGTCTTCTGCAACTGTTGTGGTGGTGGAGGTGGTCTCGCTTGATAACCTTGATTCGACCTTGGGTTTTAAGCATAACTGAAATTTGGATGATCCCTCTATCCTGGATTGTAAGTATTGCCGTAGGGATTATATGCTCTTTTTTAATTAAAAATATTTTTTTATTATTAGAAAAATTAAAAAATAAACAATAGGCATCTAAAAATATAACAGAAAAAATTTTAAACACATATTTTTAACGAAAAAATTTTTATACACTAAAATATTTTTAGTGAAGTAGTTTTATACTTATTTTTTGTATTAAACATTTTAATTATAAAATTTTTAAGGAATTACTATAAGCGTAGTTATAGCCCAAATTTGCGTAAGATTGATTAATCGGAACCGTTAATTTTTTAAGCCGACAATTTGAGCGTCCGATCGAATCTAACACGTGCGAAGAATGAGACACGCGTAAAGATAACAGCGATCCCTCCAGAAATGTCAACCAAAGGGGAGGGGACGAACGAGAACGAGAACGGGAAAGGGAAAATCAATGCAAATCTTGTACTTCATCTCTCTTCTTTGAATTTATTTTCATTTATTGTTTCTCGTTTTAGTTATTTGTTTTTAGACTGTTAGTTATATATAAATCGAAGAATATATAATTTTTAATTTGTATTTTAAAAATAAATATAAATTGAAAAGAGAGAAAATGAGTAAATGAATGAATGAGAACCTCGCCTTCTTTGTTATCCCTAACTATAGATTCAGCTGTTCTTAATCTTTCCAACATCGCCGATCTCTCCACTCTTCCCGATCATATCGTCATCGATCTCTTCCTGGTAAAACATCCTCTTTTTTCCATTTTTATTTTTTGATTTACTTTTTTGCCTTGTGGATTGATGGATGGTTTTATTTTCTTGGTTGTTCTGTGGGGGGTTTTCTTGGCTTTTGGATTGATGGGTAGTTTTAATTTCTGGTTTATTTTGTGGGTTTTTTCTTTTTATGTGAAGCGAGGATTTGTTTTGATGTTGGGTTTTGAATTTGTACGTACTGTTGGGTGAACGATTCCTTTGATTTTGATTATTAGTTTTAATTTCTAGCTTATAGCGATGAATGGTTTTGATGTTATGTTTTGAATTTGTATGTATTGTTGGGCGTACGATTCCTTTGATTTTGATTCCTATGATCTGCATTGTCAAATTTGTCTGATTATATATATATGTTTTATTTTTTTTTTCAAAAAACTCTTCAAGTTTATGTTTTTATTCTTAAATATCATTCCTGTTTTTTGTTAAATCTTTAAGCTGGATTTTGGTTCGATATCTATATCATGGGTGATCTAGGTTTGCTTCCTGCTTACATTTTGGTACAGGATAAAGCAACATACTAATGGTGGAACTTTAGAAAGGGCTGATAAACCTTTACTCTTTGTTTCTCTTTTGATGCTTCAATGGGTAGCTCTCGCTGTTCTCTCAAATCACTTATATGTGAAGTTACCGCTGCCATTTTTTCTCTAAAGTTTCTCTGTTATGAATCTTATGGTCATTTTGTTTTTCTTTTCATGTTCCATTGCAGATTGCAAATTTTACCTTTTTTCGTTTTCTTTATTCTTTTCCACCCCTTGTTTCTCATTTGCATCTTTACCATTTCTCCTTGTATCAATTCAAATATTTTTACTTTCTTTCTTCTGTCTGAGTAGCTTATATTTAGGTTTACGAATCCAGCTTATATCTGTAAACTTGTATATTTTATTGTCTGAACTTTTATTTGGTTCTAATGGCATCATGTAGTAAGACATGTTTTCGTGAGTTGGCAGGGAACATTGAGAGCTGGAAAGTTAAACGAGAGAGTTCTCAAGTTGTTTATAGCTACAGGCAAGGACAACGTGTTTTCTGTCATCCAGGCACTCAACATTCAAGTCACTGTTACCCCTGTTCTTCCTACCAGTAAGTCATTTTGTAGGTGTTTCAAATGTTTGTTTTTCTTTTCCAATTGGTTTTGAGCTGATTTCTACATTGAATATCTGTTCCCTCTGTAGGATGTTCTGAGAAATTCTGAGATTGGTTTAATCAGTGAAACGCACAAGAGTTACAAGCAGTTGCTTTTTTGAGGCCCTATACTTTGGAATTGGATTGTGATTTGCATTTGGCAAGATGTCGCTAGCTATTAAGGATGATGAGATTGACATTGTAATAGGAGCAATCCGTTCGGATCTGACATCATTCATGAATGAATGGAGACCAATGTTCTCTCGATTTCATATCATAATTGTCAAAGACCCTGATTTGAAAGAGGAACTCAAAATACCGGAAGGCTTTAACCTTGACGTCTATGAAAAGCCTGACATAGATCGTGTGGTAGGTTCTTCTACTTCGGGTCTCTTCTCTGGCTATGCGTGCAGGTATTTTGGATATCTTGTTTCTCGGAAAAAGTACATAATCTCTGTAGACGATGATTGTCTCCCAGCCCAGGACCCCAAAGGCTTTTTGGTGGATGCTGTTGCCCAGCATATTACCAACCTTACAACCCCGGCCACACCATTCTTTTTCAATACTCTGTATGACCCTTTCACTGAAGGAGCCGATTTTGTTCGTGGTTACCCATTCAGTCTTCGGAGTGGGGTGAAATGTGCTTTTTCATCTGGACTATGGCTTAATCTGGTTGATCATGATGCACCTAGTCAAGCCCTCAAAGCAAGGCAAAGGAATTCCCGATATGTTGATGCAGTTATGACTGTCCCAGCCGGGTCCCTGGTTCCCATTAGTGGAATCAATATCGCTTTTGATCGGGAGGTTGTAGGACCTGCCTTAGTTCCGGCTTTGAAGTTGGCTGGGGAAGGTAAGTTTAGGTGGGAAACAATGGAAGATATCTGGAGTGGGTTGTGTGTTAAGGTTGCATGTGATCACCTGGGGCTTGGTGTGAAAACCGGACTGCCGTATGTGCGGAGAATCGATAGAGGTGATCCTATAGTAAGCTTGAAGAAAGAGTGGGAGGGTGTGAAGCTGACGGAGGAAGTTGTCCCGTTCTTTCAGTCGGTAAGGTTGTCAAGAGAAGCTACAACGGTGGCGGACTGTGTAGTTGAGGTGGCAAATGCTGCTAAAGAGCGGCTAGGTTCGACAGACCCTGTGTTTGCCCGTGCTGCTAAAGCAATGCTGGACTGGGTTAATCTCTGGAAATTGGTTGGATCAATCTCATCGCAGTCCCCGGCTGTTTAGGAAGTACTTATCATGATGTCAGTGTTTTAACATATATCTACCTCATTATTGTTGCAGACATGGCGGCTTTTGCTTGGTCTTAGTTATGGCTCTAGAGACGCTGTAAGAAGTAGTTCAAACGTTGTTGAAATAATTGGATCGATCTGGTCAGTCGACGTTTAACCAAGAACCGGCAGCATGTTTGGTTGGTTGAACCAGAAAATGAAGACTTGTTTTGGGTTATGTTGGTTTGGTCTGATTTTCTTGACATTTGGTAACTTAAAACAACTCTTTATATAATCTTTGCTGATTGATGAAACTTGAAACATGAGTTATATCTTGAGTGAGTTATTTTATTGCTAATAATCAACCGTTGTTTAGGAGTTTATATATACGAGTAATTAGCCTTTGTTAATATGGTTATGTCTGGTGTGGGGATATATTTCAAGTATGAATTACGGATTCTTCAAAAAATATTTTCTTTTTAACTTCATTGCCATGGAGTTATTGGTATTATTTTCCAAGTTCATATTTATCATTTGGTTAATATATTTTATATTTTTGTTATCTTTAAGAATATTTTTGTCAAATTATCTTTAAAAATTTAGGGTACATTACATCGGTGATGCCTTTTGTTTTTGATTTGTCTTATTTTGGTTAGGGGTGAGTACTTAATCGAGTAAAAAAATTTTGAGTGACGAGTCTTATTTTATAATTTGAACATAATTTGAAATTTTTTTAGTCAAGTTGAGATCAAGAAATTTTAGGTGAGTTATTCGAGTTTTTATGCTAATTTTATTATAATTGTTTATAGTATTATGGTGAGGATTGGTTCTAATTTTTCTACTTTTTCTAACCATAATATGTATATATATATATATATATATATATATATATATATATATATAACATTACAATGTTATTTAATATATCAAATATAATCTAAAAATATAAAATATAATATTGTGAATGTTCTAAAGAAAATATTTTGAGGGTAAAATATTGATGACAATGTAAAGGAGTTAAATAATTGATGAGAAGAAAGAATTTGCAAACAATTGCAATTAAAAGACCAAATTGAATAAAATGCAAAGTTAAGGACTAAATAAAAAGAAGTCCATTTTTAGATAATAATTGAAGTTACATAGGTATTCTATGGTAGTATATGATCATGTATTTCAAATTTGATGAAAAATGGACGTAAAATAAATGATGAATAGAAGAAATAAAGAACTTATGAAAAATCGAGGGATCAAATTGAAAAATAGAAAACTTGTAATCAAAAAGAGGAATCGAAAGTACATATGTATTATATGATGGTTTAGGAGTATATGATTCAAATTTGGTAAAAAAATAGATTGAAAATGGAGGAGGAATTAAAGAAATAATGAAATCATGGACTAAATCGTAAAATTATCAAAATACTTAGTCAAATTTTTATTTTTTTGAGTAACTCAATTTTTAAATTTCAACTCAACCCGAACTTGAAACTGAATTGATAATTCGAGTTGACTCGAATAACTTGAAATTCGAGTAGAGTCGAGTTTTCTTTACCCCTAAATTTGGTTATTGATTTTTAAAAAAGTTACGTTTTGGTCACTTTTATTTTCAATTCGTCTTATTTACTTGTCACTTTGTTGACGTTATACATTAATGAAAATGATTAAATTTTAATTAACCCTTGAATTTTAGATAAAATATTAATTTGATCATATACTTTAAATAAAATATTAACGTAACATATAAACTTTAGATAAAACATCAATTTGACCCTTGAATCTAATAAAACATTATGTCATCGACAACCACTCATTACTGTCATCAATCGCCATCAAATATTATCATCGGTACCACCGACCGCTGTTGCAGACTTCTCTGATGAATATACTTTTTGCTTTTCTTCTCTTTTCTTTTCATTTCCTTCCATTCTTTTGCTTTGTTATACCTTTATGAATCATGCATTTTCTTCTTTACAGAGTGGACATCAGGTCTTTCGGAATAACCACACTTCATATGGACACGCCCCATTTTACAAGTATCCACCAATGAAAGAAATCTTTAAGAAAGCGTTAATCCAAAAGCGGTACTAAAATAGACGTTATTGTTTAACTAGAAAGAGGAGATTTGTGCCAAAACTATAGATGCGTAGAAGGGTAATCTCATCAGAGCGACGAGTGATTTGTTAGGATACGAGTCGATTTGATTATCCTCCTTTAGTCATATTGTAGACGTAAATGGTGTTGAATTTTCTCCTTCAAACGTTTCTTGAAAATCAGAGTGCACAAAAAAAGTGAAAATGTCCCCACCAATATTATCATAGAAGTAGAAAATTTCTTAAGATTTTGTATATATGAATCACAGTCAACTGTTAGAGACATTGTGGGAGGAAGATGCATGTTATTCCTCTAAGTAAATGACCCGCGGGAGAAGATTTCTTAAACTTGTATTTAAAAGTGATCTTCTACTTGATTCTTAAAGTTCGTAGGTTCTCGGTTGTATCTTAGAGGATGATCATTGTGTTAGATGTCGCCCAAGCTTTGTGATTTCAGTTCCTTGTTGTGATCTTGTCATTTTGATGGTTGATCTCATCAATGTCATTCTTATATGTTCAATTTAAATCTAGGACCATTAGATAGATTTTTCGTTAACTCAATAAGTAGAAGTCTCCTCAGTTTTGAAGATTTTTTACCTGTGATATTTAGAGTATGTTCGTATGCAATCCAATAGAACTATTACTTACCTTGAAAATCAAATATCTTTCTAGCCCTGCTAAATGAATATGCTGATGTTTCTAATAATATTCATAAGTCGAATGTCCTATGAAGGCAAGTGGTCTTGTTAATTCTATAATAATCATATTAGGCCCTAATAAGATTTGTTATTATGGTAATTCGTATGTTAGTTACCAAGGGACTCATTAGTCCAAGATTGTCTTAGCTCAAATTTTTGAAAATTTAGACTTTTGATGTAACACTCAATACCCGACCATGTAAGATGACCTAGATATTCAAAGTGCACGTTAGATTCCAAAACAATTGGACGAACAAAACTCTAATCATGTATACTAAGCGAAAATGATTAAGATAAGCATTCAACACACAACACATCATAACAAAATAGCACAAAATCAGGCTTTCAACAAACACAGTCAATCAAACATCATTAGTTATTTTGATTATACAAGATTATACAACATAGGGGTAAATTAGTTATTTCACATGCGATTATCGATTCAATGTTAAAATCAAAACTGACCTCATCATTAGTTATTATTAATAACCAATTAGAAACATGCAAATTTTCAAATCAATCGAACATCAATCAGGGACCTAATTAGACATGCAATAGTAAGGACCAAAACGTAAATAATAAAAATGTTACACACAAACAAAAACATGCAATTGAAACTTCCATTAAATAATTCAATATATTTAAGGGTGACAAACCAAGTCTCATAAATTCCTATTTAAGGTGAAGTATTAATTAACAACTCATTCCTAGGACCATTTTGAACTAACATAAAAATACTAGGGTCAAACCAAGACTCAAGAACACTTAGGACCTATAATGAATCAAGTTTTACCATTTTCATCGAGCAATTAGCGAAGGGTTTGATCCCTTTTCACGGGGATTGATCCTTTGCATTTAAGTATGCAAAGTTTCAAAAGGGATGAATCCATTTTCAAGGGATTGATGCTTTTTCAAAAGAGATCGATTCTTTTTAAAAAGGATCAATCATTTTTCTGGAAAATACAGAAAATTCATTTGAACTTGCAAGAATAAACCACCAAACTTCTATACAATCGATTCTATGGTCTATGAATATTCTTGGACATACTTGAATCACTTAAAACATGTCAAAATACATATGTAACATGTTTTATAACATCAATAACACAACATACAAGAATTTAGCATCAAAAGTCAAATATTACATAAATAGTCAACTTCATCACAAGTAACCTAGTCATTTTATGCATTATTGGTCATCTTATGCAACCTAAAGGCCTAACATGTTATGTTCAATTAATGTCACTTGTCTAAACACTATAATAACTTATTTAAGACATATAATATCTTTTGATAACTTAAGACACACTTGTACAACTGAACACTAAAGAACAACATCATTAACAAATTTGTCATGTTTTATTTAGAATCTAAAGTTATCAAAAAGTCATAGTCATTTAAACATTTGCAAAAAGTGAAAATACATATTATCACACATTCCCGACTAAGGATCTCATATTACCTCAAATAAAACCAAAGTTCAAAATACCTTTACAATGCCTCTTTGCTTTGATCACCACCAAGTGTCTTGCCTCTCAAGCTCCCAAATCAACAAGTAACAATCTGAAAAGGATTAAACAACAAGTGTGAGCTATAAAGCCAAGTGGATGACTAAACATTCAAGTATGATTAACATGTTAAGACTAAAGGAAAACATACATAAATGCCATACAAACCTCACATGTTTTTACCTCAATGAACATACCAACATGTCATGCCATGATGCATACATTATATACTCCACAGGTGCAAAAATATCAGATTATACACATGCTATATCTTACCATACACACTGCTACAAATCACACACACATGCATTATTACCTTCTCATCAGATTGCACACACAAACAAACAATTAATTTATTTTATGAATCATTGGCTTTTGTTTAAAATACAACTCACTCACCGGATAAACAAACTCCATATATCTCTCTTTTATTTGTGGACTAACTTAGGTAAAAAACCACTGTTTTGGAGCATTGCAAGCATCACGTGTAACGTAACAATTCACACATCAATAACAAATGCCCTTTCAATTCACATTCCATATATCACATTCCTCAAATGCATCATAATTCATAAACTTCATGTCATATATACACATATTCACATTAACCACTTTCCTCTATGCATTCTAACACATAATCAAAATATCGTAGTTCGCATGTTCCTATTAATCATATTCTTTTAATGCATCATAAATCATTTCACAAGATACACGCCGACTATAATCACATATTTTAAATCAACACATCATAAATTCACGTTATCAATTAACACAACAACATGTATACCTACTCAGATCCTCAGATCTATAGTTCACACATATTAAACCTTCAGTTAAAATTGATCACATTCATCACAAGTTAATGGATAGCCCCTTACTTCGATGGCATGATCACACAATTCGACCTCAAACGCTACTAACCCACTGCTGAACACTAGTAAACTAATTTTATCTCATCATACACTCACCAAGAACCTTAGAAAACATATTATTGAGACATTAAGGGTTCCAAAATAAAGTAAAAAAATTTTGCTTCTAAAATAGAACAAAAATTAACTGAAAGAGAAA